TGATGGGGAGGAAGGGGGGCTAGAGAAGATATACTTCTGCAGCACAAACCACTGTTTCCTGATGGTCCTTGTGATAAAGTATGCCACCTGCTGGCCACACTGGGCAATAAGGTGCATTTCCTTAAAAGAGAAAGACCCAATTAGGGTGACATCAGACAGCTTGAAAGGTGCAGGCCTGATCCCACTGGCAAAGCTTATTTTATTGGGGAGACGTGACCCTGGGAATCACTCCAGCCCAGCCCCCAAAAGTAGGAGCCCTACGAATTCAACTAAAAAGGTCCCACTTGGGCACGGTTGTGGGTCAGTCTGGAGTGCACTTCGTCATTTATTGTGCGATTGCCAGGAAACAGGCTGTACTGGAACACTCCACAAGTAATCCAAATTGAGATTTCTTACCCTGTGAGATCACACCCTGATCACACAGCAGCTGTAAACACAGCACAAGACTGTTGTCCAAAGTAGTGCCCAGAATTATGTGTACCAAATACTGAAGGGGGTGCACATATTAAAGCAACATACCAGACCGTAGGTGAATTGGCAACACGGTTGCCCACAGGCACACTGCTCCCCTAACCAAGGATTCACGAGGTTTTGGGTTGTTGGTTTTTTTAAACTCTGACTCCCCAAACGGCCCCAAACATGACATCCAATGCCAGTTGATTTCAGTGGTTTTCTGAATGCAGGAGGGATCTATACAGCAGAAAAATGCCATGTCAAAGCTGATTAAGAGGATTCTAGACTGAAACTGCAAGGCACTCGCATTTGCCTTTCATTGTCGTCGTTTAGTCGTTTAGTCGTGTCCGACTCTTCATGACCCCATGGATCAGAGCACGCCAGGCCCTCCTGTCTTCCACTGCCTCCCGGAGTTGGATCAAAGTCATGTTGGTCACTTTGATGACACTGTCCAACCATCTCGTCCTCTGTCGTCCCCTTCTCCTCCTGCCTTCCCACTTTCCCAACATCAGCGTCTTTTCCAGGAAGTCTTCTCTTCTCATCAGATGGCCAAAGTATTGGAGCTTCAGCTTCAGGATCTGTCCTTCCAGTGAGCACCCAGGGTTGATTTGCCTTTGCTCAAGAGTTAATATATAGAAAGATTTATATATACATAGTAATGCACAGTCAAATGCAAAAGAGCAGACATTTTAAATCAGAGCTCAGGGATTGCACTCATGCCATCATGTTAAATAGCAGGACTGACTGTGGAATAGGGTGGGCAAATGACAGCCCTCCATTTGAATGTTTGTCCTCCTTTTGGGTGATGTGTAAGTGGGCCACCCTATCTCTCCCCCCCCGTGAGTTTCTCTGGCAAAACAGGAGGGGCTTTGATTGGTGAATGCATCTAACCATCCCTCTCCCATTTTTTAAGTAAAATGTATTTTTTTTGGGGGGGGCAAGGGCGTCATTTTGTAAGAAAAAGCACCAGCCACAGACATTGATATACAGTAACTGCTGATGCATGATAAGAATCGGATGGTGTGCCACGTCAGTTCTGTGTGAACTTCAAACGGGAGGTCAGTCTCAGGAGTGGACATTCTGGAAGGCTTCTTTGGACCATTCCTCCAAAAGAACTGATTGTTGCTTAAGCTGGATATTTTAACAAAACTAAAGTGACCCTTCTTTTCTTTTCTTTCTCTATACATTCATTTGTAACAAGCTGCAAAAACTACAAGGCACAGGACATTCCAGGGCGTTTCTAAACACTGTATTGATGTATTTGATTTCTATCCCATCTTTCTCTTGGCGCTGCTTCCCAAACTGGGCACCTAGTCCCAAAATCTTGTGCCGTATGGCGAGCAGGCGTGTATTTCCACTTAAACTATAGTCATAATAGCTGAATGTGATGGTGTGTGCATGTATTAGTTTAAATTAGTATACACAAATCTAATGCAACAACAACAATAGTAGTTTATTTACGGTCCTTAGGCCAGTCACATAAGTATAAACCTTATAAAACCTTTAAATTTCTAACTTTCAATATCCCATTAGAACATGTTGGCATACATACAACTGGGAACTGCAATCTAATTGGTTTTTAACTTCCGCAGTCAAAGTATTGCAACACAGAACTTCGCAACCCGACAGGTGATCTGCATATCAATAGCTGAGAGAAGGAACTCAAGCCTATTTCCCTCGGGACGTCCTGGGAATCTATCTATTAGGGGGGTTATAGTTTAATGCAATATATTCCTTCGTTTTTCAAGCCTTCTTCACACACACACACACACACACACACACACACACACACACACACACACACACACACAACACTAACTCACTGTTTATAACGCACACGCACACAAACACAAACACAACTAGTTCACTGCTTATAAACAAATTTCATATACTAGACCTCTCTATAGATTAAACCAAGGACACTGATTTCCAATATTCCTTATTAAATGCTTGTAGAACTTGTTCACCAATCCATTTTAGTTCATATTTGGAGTTTCCAAAGCATTTTAAATATCTCGATAATCTGACCATTCCCA